CTAAATACTTAGGTTTTTGGCCATACCTTTTATATAGAGAAGAACAGTTTGTCAGCACAACTCCTCATAAACCGCTGCACAGAATTTCGTTAAACTTTGCAGATATTTAGGACACAATATGTAGATGTGCATATTACCAGGAAATTCCGATTCCTTTATTTTTCCGGGAATTTCCACACTTTCCAGCTTAGACTTTTTGGCCATATTTTGAATATACATATGAACAGTTTGTCAGCACCACTCCTCTTAAACTGTTGTACATAGTTTCGTCAACCTATGCAGATACATGTATTTAGGACATATTCCATTATTTTATCCCAACGAGTTTTGCCTATTATTCAAGAAAATTTCTTACCCCCCCCCCCCACCCCAACCACTTCAAATTAATGTTTGGATTTGTATAATGCCAAGAAATTTTGAATCCATTATTTATCTAGAAACTTCATTCCACATTTAAATGTCCTCATATGCAAGACATTTTGATGTGAAGATTTTTTTTGCAATTATTGCCCTTTTTGATCTATACTACGTATTTAAAGTGCACTAGCTATGCCTTTCATTATGTGTTTCACCATCAAGTTTTGGGGGAGCGTGGGGTATGTGAGCTAGCTCACTTTTTCTTTCATTAATATATGTTTATACTCGAAGTGTGTAATTTAAACCAAAAGGCTCAGAGGCTAGCCTCGCTTACTGTACTACTTAATGTTTACAAAATATGTAGATTTACATGTAGTCAAAAGGCTCACATACCAACCCCGACCAGTGTACTATATGAAAACATACAATCAACTGAAAGCTTGGTCTTAAACTCCACCCATAACTATCATTGTTTAAACCAATTATGTATTTTGGCAATTGGTCTTCCAAGTAGTTCACAATGACTTTAATTTGCTGCAAATCCTGGATTATGTGTTCTACAAGGTGATCAACAAGCTCTATCTGTTCCTTTAATCTCTTTGAGGGTTCCTAAATCCTTTTTTCTGACTTTTCAGCTTTGTTAGGATCTATTTGTTCCTACGTTAAAGGTTCTTACTGTGTTTAATTTTCATATTTTACAGGTCTGTTTACATGTAGTACTATAAATTCATAAATGGAACACACCTGTAAATACTTTGAACACATAAAAGGACAGTTTATTAAAAAAACATCTATAAAAATCATACACCTTTCGTCTACAAAGTGGTAAATTTCACCTTTTTCTGGGAAGACTTTGGCAATTGATCCTCCAGGTAGTTTACAATGATTGTAATTTGTTTCACATCCTGGATTATGCCTTCTACCAGCTGATGAACAAGCTCGATCTGTTCCCTTAATCTCATTTGGGCTTCCCCAATTCTTTTTTTTTTCTTCTAATTTTGCGGCTTTTTGAGGATCTCTTCTTCTTAAAAAAAAATTAATAAAATCAATATTGCAGCAATTTAATAACCATTTTTTTAAAAATGTCATTGCATAAGTTTTTAATTTCAAAGCACTGTTGTGTAAATATTTTTCAACATTTAATTTTCTGGTGTGATATTTCCTTTAAATTAAGCATTAATTTAGAAAAAAAAAGTCATACCCGAAGGTGGTTTAAATGGAGTCCTCTGCATATCTAAATGATGCAGACTCCTTGTCAGTTGGTGGCCAGTTTGTATCAAGAGGCGGGGAGTAGTCGGCACTTCCACCTACCGGTTTATATAATTGACTTTCCGGTGAAGGACTTGGCGGCCTAAGGAGATAGAGGGAAAAAAGAAATTTAATGCATGTCTGTATCATTTGGTTAAGTAAATAACCGAAATTATTCAAACCTGTTTTTTTAATTGTTTGAAGTGTAAAAGATTATTTATCACTTGGTTTAACCACATAAAATCAGTTGTTCAATTAAGTGACTTAACAATTTGACACTTTCAGTATCATCTGAATGCCTATACCTATTTAAATGCATGTACAGTGTATTAAAACGTAACTATTTTGGTAATTATGATACATGGAAAACTAATCTAAAACTTTGAACTGTTGAAGTTAATTGTTCACTGCTGACAGTTCTTAATATGATGTGGTAGATTGGGGATGGAGTTGATGGTATAAAACTTCAATAAAAAGAAGGAAAAAATTGTAAAATAAAATACTTGTAACATTTATTTTTATATGGGTAAACACGAGTCTTTTACTAAAATGATATATCAAGAAAAAAAGAGGGATAACTCTTATTGGTATGAAAAAAAAATTATCCAGGGTTTATAAAATTGCTTACGGAGGTGAGAATGCTGTCCTTTCCAACTCCTCCCCTATTTGTATTCACATATTCCTCAAAGTCTGCAAACGAATCAGCGGATTTTGTTGCGTAACTTTAGTGTAAATTAAATCGATTTTTTTTAACTAAAAATCATTTAATGACAAGACTAGACAGCAAAACAACAATCAAAAGAAAAAAAAGACTAAATAAAAATCGTGTTTTTGTACAAATGTATGTTATCCTAATTGAAATTATTGTGTGGAAATGTAAAATTATACATATATATAATACTGCGTATAAAATACCATAACTATGGTCATGATATGATTGTATGTGGACCAATAATGTATTTTAATTTTCACTACTTTATCCTATTTCGACTAATAAAAGCCTGTTTTTTACAATGAAATATCACTTAATTTTTCGCATTTTTACAGTGAAATAGTTTTAATAACCATTAATATTGCTTTAATTTATTTAAAAAAAGGATTTTAAGGGGAAAATAATAATAGTAATAACAATACATGTAATAATAACGTTAAAATGTATATACTTTTGTTTTATGAAGTGAGAAAAAAAATTATAAAAAGATTCCTTTAAAAGTTAGCATACCAAAATTATTTTATCTAAAAATTTATTAGTTTAATATTTTTAGATTTTTGGATAAACTATACTATAAAACAAAGCATTATGTAATAAGTTTTATTACTTTGAATGTGGAAGTAGACCTTCCTGTTGATAAAGGACATCTTGATGGAGTACTGTCCTTTACCAATTCTCAAAGAATCATTTTTCTCCATTACAAACATTGGCGTTTCACCATCATCATCAGTTTGTTGTGAGAAGACAGCTTTTATATTCGAAGCCATGACTGCTTTTAGATGCGCTGTGTTTGAACTTTCTTATTTGTAAATGTTTATATAAAGGCTCAGAGGCTAGCCTCGCCTACTGTACTATATAATATTTACCAAATATGTAGATTTAGTCAAAAGGCTCTCATGCCAACCCCGACCAGTGTACTATATGAAAACATACAATCAACTAAAGGCTTAGTCTTAAACTCCACCCATTCCTATCATTATTAAAACCAATTATATTAATAAGTTGGAAGGCTTGCAGGCTTACGCTATATAATCAAATGTAGGCCTAATCTTAAACTCTTAAGCAAATATAATAAAAGCAATATTACAGGAATTTATAAACAAGCTTTGAAAAGTCATTGTATAATATATAACTTAAATAAACTTAGCACAAAAGTCAAAATAGAGGTCAAAGTCAAGTTGTTTTGACTATATTTCATCCTATGTTGTATTCTGGTGATGACTAATTCGACTGTGACTTAGTAGCTGTTGTCAGGGTAGTATGAAATACTGTGTTGTATTCTTTTGGTGACTGAGATGGGTGCCAAACAGTTTACGTAGTGCTATTAATTAAAGGCCAGCAATTGGGTATAAAAGCAACCAATCGGTGAAAATGGTTGAGGATATGAAATTTTCTGGTCACATTCAGATTGCAGCACTTATTTTACAAAAATCAAGATTCAGTTATTTTTTTATGATTTCAAAATTGTTATGCCAGTTCCTCTCATCACTGGGACCGTTCACGGTAGTTCAGTCGATAGAGCGCTCGCTTCGTGATCGGGAGGTCATGAGTTCGAATCTCGGCCGCGACTGACCTAAGTCGAAAAAATGGGTAGCATCTGTTCCTTTGCCATGCGCTCGGCACTTTGAAGTGAAAGTTGCGGGTCCTTCGGATGAGACCTTAAAAACCTAGGCCCCGTGTCAGCGGCAAGCGTTGGCACGATAAAGATTTCTCACTGCTCAATGGCCCTGAGTGCCGAGTAAAGGTCAAAATTTGAAGCCCTTCACCGGCATACGGTGACGTCTCCATTTGAGTAAAATATTCTCTCGAGGGACGTTAAACAATACACAATCAATCAATCAATCTCATAACTGGGCAATTGTATGTCAGATTTATTTTACATATAAAAATTTATTAGATTATAATTTTGGCTTCAAAAAACTGAAGCAAGGCTGATTTTGATTTTCAAACTAGAGATTGGCAGTTTGTGGGCGTGATTTCTATTTGTTATTGTTTACACCGGATGTTGACTCACTCACACTGCAAAAGCATGTCTACATAGTGATGGCGCCAAAATAAACCAACTATGTGTATTGCTACAACCCAGATAGCATGCTAACATTGGGCCAACGTTGGGCCAATGTCATCGGTTACATTGGGCCAATGTTGGCAAATGACATTGGGCCAATGTAAGTTTGCTCATCGGCCCAATGTTGGCCCGATATGTTGGGCCAACGTTGGCCCAATGTAGAGAGTTATTTCTGCAGATATTGGCCCAACGTTGCGCCAACATTGGCCCAATGAATGCGACATTGGGCCAATGTTGGCCCAACGTCATCAAGAACATCGGGCCGATGTTGGCAAATGACGTTGGCCCAATGTCATTTTGCTCATTGGCCCAATGTTGGCCCGATATATTGGACCAACATTGGCCCAATGTGTATAAACATTTAATTGTTACAAACTTGTATATTAACAAATCCGATCGTCTCTAAAATCAGAAAAAAATCTACCACCAATCCTACTTAATAAATACAAGTTGCCTAAAATAAATTTACAAGGCTTGTTAAACTTCTTACAATTTATCATAACAAAATAAATTATCAGTAATTAAATTTATTGTTTCTATACAAGAGAAGTAAATGAAAGTATAAAATAACAAATGTGTTTTGATACAGTTAAAACATTGAATAATTTGCCCCTGATTTAGATTGAAATTCGTATCTAGTAAAATAAGTTTCAAAAGTTTTCCACTCATTTAACTTATCATATACAATTTTTGTAAACAGGTTTATAACCAATCACTGTCCTCCATTGTATTTTTGAACGGATTTTCTTCTTTCTTGTCCTGCTTGTTTTTATTTTTCCTTCATGGTCGGACTCAGTGAAATTTCATAGAAATTGATTCGGCCTACAAGCGGTTAGTCCGAACAGCTCCTTTAAATAAAAAATAAAACCCATTTTATTAAGCAAATCTCAAAAAGCAGTACTTAATTTACACCATTGCATGTTTATAGTATTTTTAATTGATTCTGTGTATTCGAAACTATCACTACATAGGATATTCGATTATTTGTAGATTTAACATGTTATTACTTACTTTTTAAATCCTCATTATCTTTGAAAAAGCCGGATATCTTTATTTGCCTTCCAATGGAATTTTTCAAAACATGGCAGCAAATACTCTCCTCTTCATTCACCAAGTTTTTTCCACTAATTAAATAAAATGAGAACTTTAATCATGAGAGATTTGATTTCCCTGAAACATGTGAAACACAAAGTAACAATTCCAAAATTTGTTTTCTTAATGGTAGAAATATAAGAGAAATTTATGAAACGAAAGTGACCCAGGCAAAAATTCAAAAATATTCAAAAATTAAATTTACAAATTAGATTTTTATTAAGGTAATAATAATTGACATAGATCAATGATACATTTTATTTTATAAGTTTTATACAGAAAGGATACAGTAATTAGCGACTGATCTAGTTACATATTTAATTTAAACATGTTAAAACTAAAGCAAACTTAGAAAAAGAAAGATCGCATGAAACAAACTTTGCATTTTGTGTTCTAAAATCTGAAATACATGTTATTTGAGAGGTAAATATAGTACTTACATTTCGATCCGTATGTGAAATGTCTGGACATAGCTATAAAAATTAATCCACATTAAAGAATACACATTCCAAAGCTCTCTTTTTAACACAAAATCTTCAACGTTCTGTTGTAGGAAACATCCGAGATTAAAATGTTAGGCGTGCTAAAAGGATGCAGATTTGACCATCCTGTCCTATGAGATATCACAATTACCATAGAAACTGGCCAGTCTCACGCTGTGCAAAACCCTGGCCTAATTGTTTGGTCAGAAAATGTTCTCTTATCTTAGAATATGCCCCCTAAATGCAACACTTTAGAAAGTGTGTGTCTTACTCGTCTTATATTTTGTAAAATATGCAAGTTAATTTAAATTTATGTTATATTATTCTCAAAAACATTTACTAGTACTTTATAGAACTAGTAGTGTTTTAATTAACATTTACACATATTTTATTAAAGTTTCACATTAAATAAAAAAATATAGAAGTTATATTACTTGATACATCGTCATGCATGTTTTTAGGTACTCGTGGTTGGTATATATGTAGCATTAATGTACACAATTTACTATTTTTTTTCTTTCACCTTTCCATCTTCTTGTCCGATCTTTTAACAAACAGTTCACATGTTTCCTGAATTCTGACTTCACTTAAAGTTGGTTCAACGTTGTCTATACAAAATATTGTATCGTAATAAGGTCGTGACTCACCAACATTGGCCTAACGTTGGGCCAATGTTGTACTCCCAACAAAATCTGCCAGCTTAGTGGCGACATGCTAACAACAATGGCCCAACGTTGTGTCACTGTTGTGTCCCCAACCAACATCGGCCTCTGAGTAAAATATTATAATGTTGACAGTGACCCAACATTGGGCCAACGTTGTAAACAGTGATCTTACGTTGGGACATTGAAGTGTCCTCACCCCAGCTTCTAAGTAATAAGTGTTATGTTGACATTGACCCAACGTTGGGCCAACGTTGTATACCCAACAAACTACAACAAAATAAGAACGTGATTCACCAATGTTGGCCCAACGTTGGGCCAATGTTGTACTCCCATCAAAATCTGTCAAATTAGTGGTGAAAAGCCAACAACAGTGGTCCAACGTTGGGCCAACGTTATGTCCCCAACCAACCTCGGCCTCCGAGTAAAATTGTAATGTTGACATTGGCCCGACATTGGGCCAACGTTGTGTCCCCAACCAACCTCGGCCTCTGAGTAAAATAGTGTAATGTTAACATTGGCCCAACATTGGGCCAACGTTGTAAACCCAACGCCAACCATCGGCCAACGGTCCAACCATTAGCCAACGTTGGGCCAACGTAGTCATGCTATCTGGGAAGTTATTCTCTGTTAATAGGAATGAAATATGTAGATTTACTCACATTTATTAGTAAATCCAATGTATTTCAACGGGTTCCATTTAATATGAATGGTGAATATGAAAAAAAAATTCCCACAGTCACAATATATTGCACAGTCTGAGTGAGAGAAAACTCAGTTTAGCTAAACATCCCCAATTTAATCTTGAATAACTCGTCCCTCTGATCGAAAATAAAATATTTTCACTCCAAAGTGTTATACTTTACTTCAAAAACTGAAAGCTCAGTAATATTGCTCTTAAAATGTTGCCTGAATAATCCTTCGATACACATGTTGTTCGTCAGTTTCATTGCACTCTATGAGTCTGACCTGTTCAGGTAGACAAAGGGTCATCTTAATAAATATTGAATTAGATAACCAAGGCATAACTTTGTAAATCAAAACTATAATAATTACAATTTTTCAAAATATAATGAGTAAAATAAATTCTATTGTTTATAGAGATAGTTATATATAGTTTATGTGATTAAAAAGACCCTCTAGTATGTGCCTCGCACATTGGTAGAAAATTGCGGGAAAACATCCTCAAATTATCACCTTGAACTTTAGAAATATTACTCCCACAGGTGGCCCACGTATGGAATATTGTCAGGATTGGGAAACCAACCCCTCACACATTTTATTACGCAATCTGGCATTATATCTTTGCGATGCCACACTAAATTTCTGAACCTTGGGTCTTGTTCTAATGCCCTTCTTTTTTTCTCAACATATCGAGGATGATCCCAGATATCTTTATGATACATCATAGTCCAAAATCTTTTTGTACTTTTCTTTACGCAAAGTTCTGTTTCGTTCTGTTTCTTCTCTGTTTTGGGTGAGAGTCAGTTTCCCACCACATCTACTTATTTATTTCATCAGTGATGCATGGTCTCCACAAACAATATATACACTCTGAACTGTTAGGATCCTGTTGAATTCTGAAAGGTTCATTTATAAAATCATCATTATCATTTGTTTGGTCCTCATGTCCTGGTGAATCAGTCTGAGTCTTAACATTTACTAAAGAGTTACTATCTGAAATTACTGCTGAATCAAAATCCCAATCAAAGTGATTGAAATCACCTCTTATATTTTTTTACTGATCACCACTCAATTCAATTTTAACCCTCCGCTTGCTTGCCATTTTTATGTTTCAGATACTGTCAAAGTTTTCGCGGGTAAATGTCAAGTTACTCTGATTTAATGCCCATTAGCAACTTTAGCCAGTGCAGATGCCAAACAATGATATTGGAGGGGGACATAGAGGAAAATATAATGCAATAGTAATCAGTAAATTAGTTAATGAATCTGAATATTCAACATTAAGGACAGATGATACAAACAATATTTTTCTTTGAAAAAGATTTAGTATCATGTCACAAGTTTAGAAAAGTGGATGGTTCTTGGAATTTTTTCTCCAAAGAACTGGATATGAAATAGACTTGGAAAATATTACGAATATTTCAATAAAAAACAAATATAGACAAATCACATTCAGTAAAGGTATACAGTTGAAAATAAATTTCAGAATATGTTATCTTGGCGCTAAAAGTGTAATATAAACCTTAGAAAAATATACCAAGCGAGGTGAATTTTAAGAGGAAGATCAAAATGACAAAAAATTAGCAATATCACATAGGCTGATTTTTACCATTTAGCTTTTCCTTTATAAATTCACCTGGCTTGGTATATTTTTCTTAAGTTTATATTACACTTTTAGAACCATGTTAACATATTCTGAAAATTGTTTTCACCCGTAAACATTTACTGAATGTGATTTGTCTATATTTGTTTTTTCATTGAAATATTACTTATATTTTCCAAGTCTTTTTCATATTCAAGTTCTTAGGAGAAAAAGTTCTAAGAACCATCCACATTTCTAAATTTGTGACATGATATTAAATTTTTTTCAAAGAAAAAAATTGTATCATCTATTCTTAAATAAAATGTCGTTAAAAATGTTTGTTGAAATATGACTTTTTTTGGTGGGGGATTTTTTCTTCTGAAATTTCCCTGTTTTCCCTAAAAATAATTTCATAGGGGAAACAAATATCACTTTTTTAATCTAGGTAAAATTATATTACCCCAATTGTCCCTACCAAACTTAGCTCCATAAAATGTCACTTGGTCCAGAGTTCATATTGCAATCTCTATTTTCAGCAGCAGGATGTTTCATTTTCTGGTAGGGGAGATTCAAAACTTTTTAAAAGTTACTTATTAAGAATTTTAATCATAATTTGATATCAAATGTTTTGACATTCATTGAACTTTATTTGACCTTTTTTCCGTGAATAAGTATTTATAGTAAACTACAAAAATTATAGAATTTTTGCAACTTGTAATCCCCTATTACCAACTGAAGTTGGGCTTATTGATTGCATTCAATGATCTCTAAAGTTTCTGAATGATTACTGATAATAAAATATGGATTCTACAACCAAAAAGCGTCCATCTTCATTTAAAATATCAATTCCTGGAGATGACCAACATAAAAATGAAATACTTTCTCTTCTTTATAAAGCAAGGGATATTTTAGTGAGAAAACTGAATCATCCTGTAAATAACGCTGAGATCCTAGAAAAGGTTTTGTAAACATTCTTGGAGAAATATGACAGAGAAGCAAATGTTACTATGGAAACCTTGGACTTGAACACATACATTCAGGTACAGGAAAAGGATTCTAACCAAATCTTCCTTACTGCAGAATCATCACTAAGATGTTTAGTAAAAGAGGTGGAAAATCATTCCAAATTCTGTAATGGTGATCCTACGTTAAAAAAGATCACCGAAAAGGGACATGTTGCTGCAGCAAGATTTAATTGTAGAATTCAAAAACATCATAGCATTTTGTGGTCTTCATCATCATACCTGCCAAATAATGAATATTTGGTGAATAAAAGAGTTATTCATAGATTTGCTTGTAGTGGAATGTTGCCAGTAGTATAAGCGTCTGTTGGCCACCCCCCTACCACCTGCTCACCTGTCAATTATGTAAATGAAGACCTGCTCACCTGTCAATTATGTAAATGAAGGTCAGAGTGGTGAATACATTAAACCTGATCGATTTTAATTAGGGATCCCAATCGATAAAAGATCAAGGTCACCTGACGTGTGGGGTTAATTAAGATTAATTGTATGCAACGTTGATAATTAGCATATAGATTAGGACGACTGAATGGTGACGTATAGTTTTCTTCCTCCTTCACGAATTAGTATTCAGATACATGATATGAAATATTAACTCTAAGGATAGAGATAAAAAGGAAATGAGTAGATCAAAATTACGTACATAAATAGAAATGAAAGACACAGAATTTAATGAATATTACAAATCAACGTTTAGAGAGGAAATAATTCACCGATGTTAGTCCCCCCACCCCCTCTTTCAACACACACATACACCAACACCCTAAGCCTCTCACACACACATTTTTAGGAATATTCCAGAATTATGGAAAGTCTGTGTGTGAAAATTAAATTTACATCATCTTATGGAGAGTTTTATTCTTATAATCACACACTTTTGAAATTGAAGTTTTCTTTCTTCCTTTTTTTTTGAGGGGGGGGGGGATAATAAATTTAAAGATCATGATTCTGATTCTTTTCTTGGAATGTAATATAATTTGACATGACGAATCACTCTGCAGAACATTCTTAAAGAGACTTTTTATAATTTCAAAAGCAATGTCCAATCACATGAATTATTGGTAAAGATTTTGCTTATAAATGATCCATTTCAACGCATTTAGATTAGTGTTCCCATAGACAAGCGGAAGATGACCGAGGAAAAGTGCTCTCTGCGAAAGCGCTGTACTGCGCTACGAACCAGTGGAATTCTTGGAATACTGGCAGCTTCATGTATGATTGTGGCTTTGACAACCATTTCCAGTTTATCTACAAGATCATCCGTAGTGGAATCACCACATCAGAATGAATCCTTTATTGATATCAAAGCGAATGACACACTGTGTGAATTCATACAATCTTTTTCAATCTCTGGAAATGTATTTGTGACTGTATGCTTATATGGAAATATTATGCGTGTTGTCATGAGGGTTTTCTTAAATAAGAAAGCCACTATAAAAGGATTGTACCTGACTACGACACAATGGAAAAGACTATTACAGATCATTCCATTAATTAATGACACAATGAAGAAGTTTCAGTAATTCTGCATAAAAGAAAAAAAAAATAGTATTGGATACTCTCTATTTTTTAATTTCATGGAAAAAAAAAACAATATCTTGTTGGACATCTTGTGGTTATTTTGTTCTTTCTTCTCTATTGGTTTTACATCTGGGATCTGTGAAATGAAATAAATGAAGAATAAATGGAAATAAAGTAAAACTGATTTCATTTTTTTCCTGAGAAAATAAAACGGGAATCCAGTTTACTCCGGGAAAACAAATACGACTTTCGTGAAAAAGAGGAAAAATCTATCGTATGACCGAATAAGGTTTTCCTTTTCATTCCATCGAAATTAATCCAATTTTTTTTTTACATACAGATTACTTGTTTTTCTATGGAGAGTGAGAGAAGGAATGTGACGAATTTAAAGAAAAATATTAAATGTAAAGAAAAAAAACATTGTATAGACTTATGGAGGAATGATGATCTCCTCCTGGTCTTCTTCCTGGACGTGGTTTTCTTTCTGGTCTTCCTCACTGAATTCCCTGAAATGAAGAAAATAAATATTAGTTAAAAGGAAAAAAAAAGTCACTCATTATGATAAATATTTTCACCTGTACATTTCCTGAAGTAGACGCAGAAAAAAAAATGTATTCTTTTAAAGTACATTCTTGTACGATATACATATATTTATTAAGGGTTAATTGTTTTGAAATAAAAAAAGAGAAAACTTACAGCGGAATACACGCCAATTCCGACTCCGAACTACAATATAAAAAGGAAAATTACCGTGTGTGAAGGAAACAGTATTTTAAACACTTAATTTCTAATTCAGTTAATTTCTTTTGTTTAAACTTATATTGATGTTTGATAATTGTGAAAGTCACTACTCACTCGGAACCGATCAGAATGGGGCCCGACTCGTTACTGAAATTTTATATTTACATAATTTAATTTAAAAAAAAAAAGAATTGACAAATAACCTGAAAAGAAAACAATCAGAGGATGTGTTGATTTTTTTTCCTTGAAAATTTTTGTTTTGTACCGAGACTTAATTATAAGACAATTTATATTTCCATTTGCTTTTTATACTTTAAAGTAAAAAAAAAATGTATATATGGACGAGAGAAGATAATGATTGTTCTAACCTTATTGGGGAGACCTCCCACTTTGGGAGAATAGATTCATCGGCATTCCTTAAAAAGAAAGAAAGGATGAAAGTGATACATTTTCTTGGAAAGAATTGTAATTCTCCATTTAAGTTTCAATTATAGTATATAAATGTCAAAACACTCAAAGTGAAACTTACTGATTAGTTCGTTTTCTGAGGAGAGTCCTTGGACGACTGGGGAAAAAACACACAAGAAATTTAAGATGAAGGAAAATATTTAATCTAGACTAAGCGTTTAAAGACAAGTGATTAAAGAGAGAATACTAACCAAAGTCTCGGTCTTTTGGGAGCACTGGGAGTTTTAAACCTTTAAAAAGTAATGAAACATTGACTTTTATTGAATAAAATGATTTATCTGGTTAGTGTTAAAAAATAAGCATACAATATATCACCTGAATCAATTTTTTTGTAAAAAGGATGAATAAAAATACACTTTAACTGACCAGGTCCCCTCCACTTTAGGAGTTGATGTTCTCCTCTCTCTACTACATACTCTGTGCTCTTTTCGTCTATATTAAGAGAAGGCGAATGTTGATCAATGTGAAAATTAAAAATAAATTACTTAACATTAGAAGTCATTGAAAAAGATTTTCCATTCACAATTTAATTTAATCCACAATTAGACAGATACTCACGGACACTTCATGGTCCTCATGACCTCCTGGATTTTGTCCAGGTAAAAATGGATCTCCTCCATTTTTGAACAATTGCAAACGCTGTAATATTTTAAACGAGTTTACTATAAGACGATTAATTCAAATTTTTATTTATTTATTTTCTTTCCAATTAGGTTTATTTCTATCTTTCTATTTATTTTTTATGCATGAAAAATACTGAATATTAATTGTATTAATCAGAAATTAGGAGGGGAGGGGGGGGGGCATATTCACTCACCTTTCCATAGTCTTTTTTTTTCTTTTTTTTTTCCTCATTTATTTCCCAGACCTATAACAATAAACAGCTGATAAGTTGGGCAGCTGCCAGGGATGGGGCCCTGACTAAGCTCCCTCTATAACAATACATAATAATAATCCCTACAGCACCACGCAGGGTGCTTTATTATTTAGATACAAAGTCACACATAATTTTACATCTAATACATATTATAAATCAAATAATATACATATATATAAATATGGAATCAGTTTTGGTGAGAATATGACAATAAAATGTAAATATATAACTATGAAAAACATCATTGTATTATTATATAAAGCTGTACTTAGGAAAACAGGTAACAGTTAATCAAAGTCTGTAAGCATATCTAATGTTAATTTTAAATTTCTGTTGAAGTTACTCTTATTATTTCTTAGGAGTTGAAGGATTGATTTCATTTCTTTCTTGAAGTCACTCAAGAGTGCTGAATTTGTAATATTTTTATTTTCATACTTAATGCTGTTTCTTGTTTTCCATATTGACCACTTGTATATATAAATCAAGGTGTTAATACATATTTTTGGTTTCTCCTGCGAATCCCAATAAAACAATACATACATCAACTTTGACTGAATTTACTACAGAGATTTTTAACATTATATTTTGTACCAATTCTAAAAGTGGTTTGACATGTTTACATTCATAAAATAGATGTTTCTGACTCTCAATATTTGATTTACAGAAAAAACAATTACCATTTGAAAAACCCATTTTGCTTAATTTTTCTTCAGTGTATAAAATGTTATGCAAACATTTCCATTGAAATTCTTGAATCTTTTGTTTTAACCTAACTTCATAAATTGAGCCCCAAATCTTTTTCCATGTAATTTCAATTTGCGTCAGTTTCTCCCATTTTTGTTGGGATTTTGGAGTGATATTTTTGTTTAATACTCTTTGTATATCTTTGAGTTTTATATCTTCAAAATTTATGAATTTGTTTGTTTTTCTTACAAATAAAAAATTATCACACATCACAAAAAAATTATTTATTTCATTATCTATTCTATTTACAGTATTGCTCCCTTCTAGAATGTCAAGATAGGTTTTAGGTATAGCGGTTTTTATTTTACTGTATTCAAAAATCCAACTTCTTTTATCAAGAAGTTTTGAAAATATGTACGCATTAGTCTTAAAAGTCTTAGTATCATTATCCCAAATATCTCCAATAGTTTGTAGACCACATTTAATAAAAGACTCTATATATAGGCTTTGCCTCGAAATTGTATATCTTTATTTCTTAAAATCTGACATTTCAAAACTTCATCTTTGCTTTCTGGTGGAAAGTGTGATCTAAATTCACTGTATGCCAATAATGCATTTTTATAAAATGTGGGTAGTTTATTAAGAGATATGTTCATAAGATCAGAGCAATTGCAAATAAAATATTCCTGTTTTGGATGAATATCTTTACTTTTTAGCCAGAGCTTTCCTATAGCATTCCAGTTTTCAAGTTCAGAGTGCATTATTTTGTATATTGTTTTAATTTGTTTTCTTTTAATAAATGTAAATGAATTTATCATATCTAATCCCCCCTCAGCTTTACTAAGGCAACAAACATTTCTATCTACTTTGTTTACTTTCTGATCCCAAATATAAGACCAGATAATGTCATTAATTTTTTTACTGTAAATATTTGGTATGCCTCTCATTTCAATTTCATAACCAATAATAGGAATTACAAGATTTTTAATTATTAATGTTTTTCCTTTAAATGTCAAATTTCTAGTTTTCCAAACATGAAGGCAATTGGTTATTCTTTCTATTTTTTCCATCCATATAGCTTCAATATCAATATCGTATCCGTGGTTCACACCTAAAGTTTTAACATGCGTTGTGGTCCACTGAATTTTATTGAATTTAGGTTTTTTACCCCTTGATTTTCCAATATATAAGCCCTTTGTTTTAGCAAAATTTATTTTTGCGCCTGATGCTTTTTCATATATTTCTAAGATTTTAAAGGATTCTTCTATAGATTCTTCGTCTTTATTGAACAACTGGGTATCATCAGCAAACATATTGATTTTGCATTCAATATGCTGATTATTATTAGGAATATGTATACCTTTAATGTTGGGATTTTGGCGTATGGCGCAAGCCAAAGGTTCTATTTGTAATACATATAGCAAGGGAGCTATAGGACACCCTTGTCTAGCTGATCTTGATATTGTAAAGTATTTGGAGAGGAACCCATTTGTTTTAATGCAGGTTTTTGCATTTATTAACAACATTTTTATCCAGTTGCAGTATTTATTTCCAAAATTAAAGTTTTTTAAGGTAGAGTCTAACCATTCCCATTCTAATCTATCAAATGCTTTTTGTTGATCAAGAAAAATTATTGCTCCTTCTAAGTCTTCATTATCTGCGAAATCAATAATATCTTGTATAATTCTATTGGCATCGCTTATATTTCTTCCCTTTACAAAACCTTTTTGATCAGGATGTATAAGTTTTGGCAGGACGGATTTTAATCTTTCAGTAAGTATTTTTGCAATTATTTTATAGTCTGTATTTAACATTGTCAGAGGTCTCCAATTCTTTATATTTTCGCGTTCTCCCCCTTTGTGAATTAGGGATAAAATACCTTTCGTTTGGGAGTCGCAAAGTAAATTGTGGTTAAAGATATGTTTAATTACTTTGGTAAATTCGTCTTTAATAACATCCCAATAAATTTGGTAAAAATTTGAAGTAATACCATCTTCCCCTGGTGATTTATTAATTTTTAATGTCATTATTGCGTTATGAATTTCTTTTTCATTTATATCGCGATTAATTTTTAATGTCATTATTGCGTTATGAATTTCTTTTTCATTTATATCGCGATCAAGCATTTCTTTTTCTTCAGTGTTAAGTTTACTATAAACATCTTTTAACAATTTATCTCCGCTTTCTGGGTCGCACCCTTCGGTGTTTAATAATTCTTTGTAAAATTTTATTTGTTCCTCAATTATAGAATCAATGTCTGTTTTATATGTCCCGTCATCACATTTTATTCTTACCCATAGTTTGTTTTTACCATTTTTTTTTCTCTAATTGAAAGAAATACGAGGAGGGCACTTCTCCTTCAGAAAACCACTTGCATTTAGATCTCAAAATTGCGGCTTCTGTTTTTTCTTTCAAGATATCCTTTAATTTTTGCTCAATCGAATTCAAATATTCTTTATCCGTATTAGGGTTGTTTTTTATGCTTTCAATTTCTTTTTCTAATTTTTCACACGTTTTCTTGCTAGTATTATAGGTTTTGGATAACTCTATACAGATTGATTTTATTTTACTTTTTGTCATATCCCACCATTCATGAACATTATCATATTTTTCTAGACTTAATTTGTGAATATTCCAAAATTCAGTGAATGTTTTCTTGAAATCTCTTAAAATAGTTTTTACATTCATTGTCCATACCCCTGGGCCTCGTTCGACTTCTTCTACATGTAACTTTATCGAAATGAGATCATGATCGCTTAGTGGAAAATGTGTGATTCTTGTATTTTTGATTTTATGTGATAAATTTTCACTAATAAGAAAATAATCGATTTTAGACTTAGAATTACATCTATGGAACGTATAGCATCTTCTCTCTCTGTGTCTTTCTCGCCAAATATCTTCTAGTTCGTTATCTCTAAAAAATTTATCGAGGTCATCTTTACTAGGATCATTTTTAACTGGAATTGGATGCCTATCCATATTTTTATCTATAGCACAGTTAAAGTCACCACATATTATTTTATAATCTAAATTATTAAAGGTCAGATGTTTAAAAAATGATTTTCTTTCATTCACAATGTTTGGTGCATAAATATTTTTAAGTCCAATTTTTATTGTGTTTATCATAAGGCATATGTCTATTTCCCGTCCATCTTTGTCGAATTTTACATCGCTAACTTTTAATTCATTTCTTTTCACAAATAATATCCCAACACCACGTGATTCACTAGACCAGTTATTCCATATAGAATTAGTACCGTTAAATTCTTTCCATTCATGTTTCCATCTCTCGGTATCTAGATCAGTTCCGTGAGTCTCTTGTAAACAAACTACATCATATTTACAGGTACGCTTGCTCAACCATGAAAATATACACATTCGCTTTCTTTTATCCCTTAATCCGTTAACGTTAATAGATGATATATGCAAAGACATTTACAATTTGTAGGGGTAATAAAAAATATTCTTTTTCCGCTTATCAATATTTGATTTTAAAAAATGAACATGCTAATTATGTACAATTTTTAGGGGTAATAATTTTTTTCCCGCTTATCAATATTTGATTTGAAAAAAAAAAATGAACATGCTAAATATGTACATGTTTGTATTTATTCCTATGTACACATGCTTAAATGCAAATTGTTTGCTAGTATACATAGCACGCAACATAACAGTAAAAAAAAACATATACCCAAACATATGTACATTATCATACAATGTTAAATTGTGTAAGGTTCACGTACATTCGCTACATTCACTAAACTTTGGGACATTTGCCTTGTTTCTCCGCGGAGGACGGTGTATGAGAACTTAATTTTCGTTTTGACATGCTTGGGGTCTGAGGTTCACTGCCATTCGAAGTTTCTTTTTGCTCGAGAAAAGCCATCGCAATTTTCCCAGCACCTTCACTGCTTACGTGCACGCCACTTGGATCGGTAGGGTCGTACAGTGATTTGATCGCGTGACCTTGATCGTTTACGAAAAGACTGTATGTGTCAATTATCAGAGTTCTGTGATCCTTTTCGCAAAGTTTTTTCAGGAAGATGTTCACTGTGTTTGTTGTTTCGTTTAATTTTTTTATTACGGCACCCTTACCT